TTACTGCTGTTTATTATTTTAATTACAGAGCATCACATTCTCTGACATTCAAACATAACTGTTGTATTAACCTTTTGTGAATCCGTGTTTCTTTCAGTAGAATAATACCCCAACATAAAGTGCAACATATCTACCCACTAATTAGAATTGACTTGATATTACAATTAAATGATGAGTGCTGCCAATGAGATATCTCATAATTGGAATGGGCCTGAGGCTAGATGTTTCTTGTTTTATTAGATAAGAATGTCTACCTTCAGCGTTGACTTACAGTTTTCCTTTTTAAGAGTAGATAGGGTAGAATAGGTAGATTTAGGTATATTTATAAGTGCATCATGATATGTTTTTTGTCATGTAAATGTTACTTCAGAGTTAAAATTTGCCAAATATAAATCAATAAGAGCTGGACATGGTAGATGACTTTGTTTCATTAACACTAATTTTCCAGTGGTTTAATAAGCTGTTGAAATATTGTAAATGATCTGTGCATAAGCAGTTTCTTTGCGAAACAATAGCTTGAAAGATATCTGTATGTTCATGTTCGATAACATTAAAAACACCTGATTCAATTTATAACTGAATTATTTGAAATTAAAACCCTAGTTATATCACTGGATGGCGCTCTAATACACATGCATATTTGTGTATTAAAATATCTCAGGCAATTTATAACTAGGGCACAGTGTGGATGCTGTTTTTGCAAATATAATAATAATAATAAAAGGAGTCAAAGGATATGTGTTTTATTGTTAATTGATTGTTTCAATACCTTAGAGAAACTAATTGAAGTATTTTTTTTTTTAACAATGTACTTATGGCGCTTTTCCACTGTGTGGTACGACTCTGCTCGGTATGGCTCAGTATGGCACGGCACGGTTCGGCTCGGCACAGTTCGCGTTTCCACTGCAGTTCAGTACCGCTTTAGAGTGGGCGGGATTATTCACATGTCGTTATAATAGTTGCGCCGCCTCTACTACCACGGCTCCTGAAAACCTTTTTCATTCCGCGTCGCCCCATCAAGCTCTTGCTGGATCCGTTCCTCTGCTATCAACGAGAGGAACGTCTGTTCTTCCGCAACAGACAACAAAACTTTTTGGTTGTTAAAAAAAAGGTGCGCTCGTTCAAAACAGTTGCGTTCCATCTTTCGCTGGCTGTGCTGATTTAAATCTAGCGGTTCTTTTATGTTTGCGTCGCAAGTTCAGTGACGCAGGTAGTGACGATTCTCTCCGGCCAATCCGTGATTGAGATTTGATGTGAGAGTTTACACGCCACGTTTTGGTAACGGTACGGTTCACTTGGAACCCCAACCGAAGTTAGGCCTTGTAGACATTCTGGTCCACACTCCATACCAGTTGGTGGCGGTAATGTGCCAACCGCCAATAAATACTAGAAGAAGAAATTAAAACGACTCTCGTCCAGTGTTGCGAACTTAGCAATTTTGTTGCTAAATTTAGCAACTTTTCAGACGTTCAAAAATTAAATCGTTCAAAAGTGTTCAGTGTTGTATAAAAATTGTTATTTATATTTTAACATTATATTATGCATTTATATTATTTTACGAACAAATCTAACATATAAAATATATTTTTGCTGAGATTTGATGTAGTGACACAATTTTGCGTCGTGATTACGTAATGACGTCATCGCGCAATGACACCACAACGTCATTTAGCAACTTTTAGCAACAAATCGACCTTCCTTTAGCAACTTTCTCTGAAAATTAGTTGGCAACAATGCTCTCGTCCTCTAGTGCAGTGAATCTCATCCTTTTGGCGTACCGGACCCCAGTCCAATTCAGAACCATCCTCAAGGACCCCCAGAACAAAATTGACTCGTATCATTTGTGTCTTTGTGAGGACCAAATGCAGTCAAGTATATAATTCAAGTTAGCTGACTTGTCCAGTATTTGGCCATATCATCAACTATATTGGATTTTTCTTTCATGGGAACATGTCATGTCAAAATCTACAAAATTTATACAAAAATGTATACTTTATACGGACCCCCTGGCCTTATGTCAAGGACCACTAGGGGTCCACAGACCCCTGGTTGAGAAACACTGCTCTAGTGGTCAAACGCGGTATTAGTTTCGTTTCTGAGGGTGTGTATATATGCTTTCTCTGGCGGTTTTTAGGTTTACAATACAGAAACCGGTGGAGACACATTTGATGCGGGATGCTATTTATGTAAAACGAAACAACATGACAGCTTTGCAGACCAACACACACACACACACAAAATCCAGACGAGTCGGAACGGATGCTAGTGCTGTTGCGGGTGTGTTATAAACAACAGAGTGGGTCATTTACTGCCACTGCACACGTGTATTCATGTTTTATTATCATGTAGCATGGGATCCTCGACACGTTTGATGCTCTTTATTTGACTGAAATAATGTTTTGTGTGATATCATAAACTAGGCGGCATCGGCTAAGTAACGTTAGCGTCTTTGTGTCATTTTTCTTGGTAATGAACGCAGATTTATTTATCAGTGTGTCAACTTTATAATGAAAAGCTTCAGTCCCCCACTCAGAGCACATAGCATAGGTACTAAAATATACCAGGGCACTACACTAACCACGTATTTGTTATTGCTTTTTGCTACAAAAATAAAAAAGTGTGAGTTGTATCATTAGTTGGATAACACTCCTTCACCCCATCACTCATGTTGTGTTCCCTGATCCTCAGGTGGCGTTACCGAACTGGAACGGGAGCAGATATCTTGAGCAGTCAACATATTTGTCTGATCTTTACAATTATCATTGGAAACTTAAGGTGAGATCTGGTTATTATCTTAATCTGACACTTTAATTTTCAACCATTGTTTTACCTATGGACAGAAGTCCTGTTATGCTATTGAAAAAACAAATACTGGTTTGTTAGTTTCTCATCAAGGCTGATGCAAACAAAATAAATGATTAAGCACCATCAAGCAGAAATCATAAATTGTAAAGCATACATTGAATTTATTCATTAAAGGGGTCATATGATGCGATTTCAATTTTTTCTTTCTCTTTGGAGTGTTACAAGCTCTTGGTGCATAAAGAAGATCTGTAAAGTTGCAAAGACTAAAGTCTCAAATCCAAAGAGATATTCTTTATAAAAGTTAAGAGTCAGCCACCCCCCCTCCCTAAAACGGCTCGTTCTAACACGCCCCCACATGTCTACGTCACGATGTGGGAAGATTTGCATAACGCCGCCCAAATGTTCACGCAAAGAAAGAAGGCGTAACTTTTATTCTCACTGTTGCCGCCGCAGCCATGTCGTGGAGACGCTGTGCGTTTCGTTGTGAAAGCGAAACTACTTTGTTTGGCCTTCCAAAAGAGGACACAACTAGAAATCAGTGGTTCAACACTGTTTCGGAACAGTTCAACCCAAATATTCAGATGTGTGAAGCGCATTTTGCGGAGGACGAGGGCTGTTTCCTGTGAGAGTAGCCTACAATGCCGGTGTCTGTTTCTATAAAATGGGGCAGTTACAACTTTGAAGGACAGTCTGGCGCTTCTGACTCACACTCTGTAAGTTCGTTTTCATATTTAAATAATTTGCCACTGATGATTAAAACGCGAGTTTGACAAGAGGATTGATCAGAGGATTTTGTTTTGTAATCGAGGCACAGTGTCAGGGAGAGTTCAAAAAGAAACATTTGTTAAAAGATGAAGCTGTACTAGATCTGACTGCAAAGTAAATTATTTTGTTATGCTTTCTCTGGAAATGACCGTTTTATTTTGATTATGTTGTCAAAACACTCAAAACATGCAATAGCGAGGGGGCGTTGATACTGTTTCCTATGCAGTGATGTTAGCCAATCATAACAGTGGCCGATTACTGAGAAGCCTTAAAGGACCCGCCCCTTAAAAACAGGCTGTTTCTGAGAAAGGTTCAGAATGAGGGTTGAAAAAAACTCAAGGAACATTTTAAAATGATAAAAAATCCATGTCATGACCCCTTTAATAAGTTTAGTATTTTGTAGTAAAGTGGTTTCCCTGTAGAGCAGAAGTCAACGGCTTCATGTGAGCATAAATGAAATGTCCTTGCAACGACATGCTGATCACACAGACTGACACCTCAGACACACTCACTCACACACACCGTCACACACTTACACAAACATGATATTGACACCTCAGACACAGATACACACTCAAACAGACACTATTAACACCTTAGACACACACTAACAAACTGCCATCAAATGCAAACATCCAGCAGTAGACACATTCTCATGCACAAGCTGTTGTTTTTTTCTACCCAACAGATCAAACCACATTTCTGTACAGATGTAAATAATCTAGACCACAGCAGAGTTCACTTTGTCACCTTTTGACAACTAGTTTATTATCTATGTTTTGCAAACATGAAAATGCTGCAATGAAAATGCCCATCCTTAGACCATAGTGGCTGAGGTCGTTGCAGGAGGTTCCCAATGAAAATGATCTGACAATAAGGGTCTTGTAACAACATTAAAGTTTGATCATCTTCTGATTTTGATTGGTGCATATTCCACATGATCCTCTTCAACTTTCTGTAAAGAAATGTATAACACAATATATAATAATAATAATAATGAATAATGATAACAATAACAACAATATTAATAATAAATGTTTTTTTTGTAGTACCAAGTCTTTTATAAACACGTGGTGCGGTTGTGTGATAGATTATTATGCTATGAAAGCTCATTACTGCCTTAGTTAGGCCTGTCGCAATAATCAATATATTGAGTTATTGCACAATATATGTAAATCAGAATCAGACTCAGAATGAGCTTTATTGCCAGGTATGTTTACACATATGAGGAATTTGTTTTCGTGACAGAAGCTTCCACAGTGTTGAGCTGTCTGTCTAAAATGCGGACATGTGAAAAGAAGGCAACATTTGAGGCCCTATAGTGTTTTCCTTACAAATCCAGACTCCAGTATGGAAGCCTGGATCGACTCAAAGCCACAATTCACAGTTCTGGTACATATGTGAATGTAACAACGCAAAATGGTGCTCTCTCACAGCTAGCGTAAAGGGAGTTTCACAAAGGAGATAATGCATTTTTGCATTCCGCTTGTGCTGTTTATTATTATTATAATTTTTTTGTTGTTGTTTAGTTTCTATGTAACTATGTGCAATAGATGGATGTGTTTGACTGTCTTTTGCAGCATCTTGTGCATACAATGTTATGCATGCACTACTTGCATTGTTATGCTATTATATTATCATTATATATTTAGTGGCATAAAATGGCCTTAAAATGACAATAATACCACACTTATTTTTGGGACAATACATTGCCCAACAAAAAGTAGTTATTGTGACAATAAGAAAAAAAAAAAATAATAATAATTCTCTGGTAAATCATAATAAAAAAAAGTGACATACAAAGTCAAAATTATGTGATTAAAAATTACAAATGATAGCATACTTAAGTCAGATAATGGTATATGCAAGTTAAAATTAGTATGTCATAATTTCAACATTTTCAATTAGAATTTTAACTTGTTAATCTCATTATTTAAATTTTGTATATTAGATGTTCAACTTTTTAAGTTATCATTTTGAATTGTTAATCTTATACTTTCAATTTAGTATGTCATAATTTCTGTGATTTACCAGAACATGATTTTTTTGTTTGTTTTTTTTAAGTAGTGGAATTGGACTTAAATATTATCCAGACAAAATCAAAAGTACACACTGATCTACATCAGACTCTCTTCTAAAAATTATAAGGTAACAGTTTACAGTAAGGTTTCATTAGTTAACATAACTTAACTACTTTAGTTAACATGAACTGAGAATGAACAATACTTCTACAGCATTTTTTAAATCTTAGTTAATATTAAATTAACAATTATTAATGCATTATTAAAATCAAAATTTGTGTTTGTTAACATAAATTAATGCACCGTGAACTAACAGTGAACAACTGTACTTTATATTAATTAACATTAACAAAGATGAATAAATACTGTAGTAAATGCATTGTTCATTGATTGTTCATGTTAGTCAATACATTAACTAATGTTAACAAATGACACCTTATTGTAAAGTGTTATCAATTATACAAATACTCAAGAAATTAACAATAAATTGTCTTACCGATTTCTGTGCATTTCCTTTGTAGAATGTCTTCTCGACATAAGTGATCTCTACTTCACAAGTCTCAACTGTTTTAACAAGAATAGATTCATTAAAACAAAACAAAACAAAACAAAACAAAAACTCAGTCTTAATTAGATCTGGTTCTTCACAGCCTCTGTGTTATGTGACACAGTGACAGGAGGCCTTTCTGTGTGGAGTTTGCTTGTTCTCCCTGTGTCTGCATGGGTTTATGCTGGGTACTCCGGTTTCCTCCCATAGCCCAAATATTAGGTTAATTAAAGATTCTAAATGCCCCCCCCCCACCACCACACACACACACACACACACACACACACACACACTTGTGTATATAACAGACTTGTGTATGGATTGACTGGTTCTAACCATGAATTTAGTCACAGATGCTGGAATAGTGTTAAGAAGTAAGCAAGCAAGTTCAACAAGCACAACAAAAAGTTATCATTCATATAAATTTCAGAGCACCTGCCACATCTTTGCACATGTAGATTATGTTCATAAAATGGAGATAAGATAAAATAGTGAAAGGTTTTTTTTTTTTTTTAGTAAAGAAGGACACTCTGTGTCATTATATACAAATAGTTATTTATTATAACAAGGAAAATCATGAGAATACTTTTAATTAAAGGATAAAATAGGGCTATCGAGATAAGATAAAATAGTGAAAGGTTTTTTTTTTTTTTAGTAAAGAAGGACACTCTGTGTCATTATATACAAATAGTTATTTATTATAACAAGGAAAATCATGAGAATACTTTTAATTAAAGGATAAAATAGGGCTATCAGTTGGCAAAATATTTAGAATAATTTAATCTAATTAATAATCTAATTTTACCTGTTTAAAAGGAGAGGATAATACTTGCCTTCTCGATCATTTTTTTTGTGTTTCCTGCAGATGCAGAAGATCCCGACTGCAGCTACAATCAACAGAGATCCAGCAGCAGCAGAAACCAGCACTATCAGAGAAACTGAATCTGGAGGGTATGAAGGAGAGTGAAAGAGAGACAGTCATTAATGTAAGTGATTGAATCAGTCTGATCTACAACAGAAGACAGAGATCAGCTCAGTAAATAAACACATATTGGCACCGTCGTACCTGCACATGTTTGACAAAGTCCTATGATGTCCAGATGTGTGGTCTGGTTGCTGATGGGATTGTTGAGCACACAGCTGTAGGTGTTTTTATCCTGATATTCCACCTCCAGAGGTAGAGAGAGACTGATGCTGAGATCAGACACACTGATGCTGGACAATAAACTGTTTCCTTTGTACCAGGAGAGAGTCACATGACCCACATTCACCACTGAACACAACAATGAACAATTCTGCTGTGATGATGATGATGAAGAACAGTTTCTTCTTATGACAGGAACAGGCAGACAAGCTGGAAAACATAGGAGAATAAGAGCAATATGAACAGAACAATCAGCTTATTTTCAGCGTTGTGAATTGTAGTGAATCTGTGTAATGAATTTTGTGTTGAGTGAGTGTTTAGTGTGTTGTTGACGATCACTGAATGTGCCTGTCATCTCAAAATATAAAATGAATAAACATTTGACTATGTAAATAGAATATGTGAACATTTCAACAAATGATCTCTACTCACCATAGACAGAAACGTTGAATGTTTTTGATGTTAGATTCGCTCCAGTTATCTCTAGTTGATAAACTCCAGCATGTTCAGTTGACGTATTTGTGATGATCAGAGATCCAGTTTGTTTGTCCAGTTTCAGTCTGTCTCTGAATCTCTCATCAGAAACATCATATGTGGGGATGATTTGCTTAGTTTTCTTAATTTTAGCTATTTGAGCTCCATATTTCCACAGTATTGTGTTGCCTTCACGTATTTCAGTAACACCAGTGTATAAAGTGACTGAATCTTCCTCTATCACTGACACCGACTCACCAAACACACCTGATGAACAAACAGATTAAAGCCTCTGATGACAAAATTGTAAATATCAACGGTCTTTATAAACAGCTATCGTAAACCGCTAACTGTTACCACAATAGACTGAGACTGTTAGAATCAAACAGACAGAGGAAACTGTGCAGCAGTACTATTTAATGGATTAAACACATATGTATATACAGTACATAATGCAAAAATCTGTACATAATTCTTTCTGTTCCAGATGTATATGACATTATTATTATTATTATTATTACTTTTTGCCCTTAGTCTTACTTTTTTAAATGTTCTTTCTGTTCTCGTGTCATATTTGTATATATGTGTGTATATGTACCAAGAGAGTCCTGAAAAAAACAACAAATTCAGTGTTTTTGCGCACACTTGGCAAATAAAGCTATAATAAGTGAATAAAGAGTTTACATCAAAGTAAAAGGGTTAAAGTTAATCAATTTTACATGTGAAGTAAGACTAGGATCAACATGATGATTTAAATGTAAGTGTATTTACTCATTTTGGTGCAACAGATTTATTAGATAAACCTTGATTTAATCTAGATTTAAAATTAATTCTTATTTCGGTGTCACATCCTTAGTGTTTAATTTGTTTTAAAATGTAGAGGACAATCAGTGTTTGAAGTTTCATAATTTATTGGCAATAAATACATGATAATTATTGCAGGTTGAAAGTATAGCTTTAATTGTGCTGGATATTTTAAATACATTTTTTAAATAAATTATAGATTTATGGATAGTCTCCTATGGACTATAAGGTTCCTGCCCTTTTTGAGTAGTACATTTTCATGACATTTGTAGATATTTGTGATGATCACTGCAGAAGTATTTTTAAATGTTTATATTTATTAAAAATGTATTTTTAAAAATACAAGAAATGCCTGATATTTGAAAGCAGCTCAACAGAAAGTTCACACTTTCTGAACATTTACATTCACAGGGATTTCCATTATTTTCATGACCTTTAACAGATTTGGAAATGTCAATGAAAACTTCCTAACCCTAATCCCAACAGTGACCTGAATTCAGAATTAGTGGATATTGTATTATCTTCATTCAAAATTCACAATTATTTTGGTACATAACAGGAGATGAGAATAAAATAATTTGAACAGTAGCAGCAGGTTTATTTCTCCAAAATTGAAAAAAAAAAAAATAATAATAAAAAGCCATACAATTATTTTATAAACTTACCACTCAGACTCCAGCAGCACAAACAGAACAAGACAAACTTGTGAAACATTTTCTTCAGTGGTTCAGTGTGCGATCTAACAGCAGAACTGTTAAAAGGTTGTGTGAATCCTCCCCTGACAGCGTTTGACCCTCCTAGTTCACATCCTGCATTTGCATATGATCAGTGTTGGGCTCATTACTCAAAAAAATTTAATATATTACTCATTACTAGTAACTCATTTCTAAAGTAATATTATTACTTATTACTCCCAGCCAACAGTCAGGGGCACCGCTATGGTTTCTGGACCCCCTGAACAGCATATTCACTCTGCCCCCTCCATCGTCAGGCCGAGGCTTGGAATCGTCCTAACCTGTCACCCCCCATTACAGCACCCTGTCAACAGTAATTAGTTACACTACTAGTTACATTACTTTTCCATTACACCCCCAAAAAATTGGTAATTGCATAATTTTTGCAGCCTGTGAATCCATGAAAGTTACAGATAAATTAAAAGTACAACTGGCTCAAACTGATGGCAAGTCACATTTTTAAACTTCTGTTATTTAATAAAGCAGCAACATAGTAAAATCTGGTAAAAGTGTCACGCTACGGTGAAATAAACGCACGAAGAAGAAGATCAAGTCAAATAGTCTTTAATTAATCCACAAGAGGGTAAATCCAATGACAGGCAGGATACACACATAGGGACGTAGTCAAGACCAGACCAGGGAACACAGGACAGACTGAACTAAATACACAGGCAAATGAAGATAATTAACAAGACACACCTGAACCAAATTACATAATTAGCGGGAGACAGAAACCAGGGCCCTGTCCACACGAACGCGTTTATTTTTAAAACCGCAGCTTTTTCTACGTGGTTAGGCCGTTCATCCACACACAAACACAGCACCAGGTCACTGAAACCGAACATTTTTGAAAGCTCCTGCCAGGTTGAAGATTTTCAAAAACTCCGGTTGCAGTGAAAACCGGAGTTTTTGGCTTGTGACGTCGGAGCCTGCGCTGTTATCTCTGCCTACTGGAGACTTTTTCAGGCTTCTGATTGGCCTGATTTCATGGCTTTACGGTTGAGATTATATCGCCACCTGTTGGTTTGGCATGCTCTTGACAGTGCTTCATAGCATGCGTTTGCGTTTTCATGTGGACAGAGATTTTTTTAAAAACGGAAGAAAGAAAAACTGTTTATAAAAATACCCGTGTGGACATGAAGGTCACACTCAGTGATGCCAAGTACGCGGTTTTCCCGCGGAATTGGGCTACTTTATCACTGTTGCCGCGGGTTGTTTTTCATGTCCGCTGGTTAAATGACCCCGATAACATGATTTTTATCCCCTGGAGTGCAAATTTTACCAGGGGAACCCCGCCAAAAACATGTATTTTACCCCCTGGAACTCGATTTTTAACGGGTAGCCCCCCTCGAAATTCAATTGGGCTAGTTTTGAGTAGCAATTGGGCGGGTTTTGTTGTGAAAACCTGGCAACCCTGGTCACACTGAGCACATAGAGAATAAAAACACAACAAAACAGTTCAAGGGTGTGACAAAAAGAAGGTAGAACCAACTAAACATGTTGGAATTGCTGTAGACAGTCTTAGTACCACTACACAATTTACATGTGACATTGATGTTTTTGTCATTATTTCTCCCTACAAAACTTAAATAATGGCTCTATTTCCAGCCGCTATATGATGTGGGCTTCTCCATCTTCCGATGAAGCTATCTTGCTGCATTGGTGACGTCCCGTGTGTACACGCACGACAGTGATTAAGACGATTGATAGGGATGATTGCATTTTTGAATTTCAATTCATTAGCGATTGTGACAAAAATTGTGGCTTTGCCCCCCCATGGACATCCCTGTGCCCGCCCTCTGGACCGAAGCGGACAGCCGGACTTTAGTTTCGCGTGTATAATAGTCTAACTCATAGTGTAAAATAGTCTAACTGATTGCTTTTAGATGGAAAAGCTGCCCATAACTCCTGGTCTAGGATCTGTTTTCTTTGTAATAATAGCACAACGAAATAGATTTGGCAAACAATCCCAGTGTATCTGCCCTTCTGATTTGGAAAGCGTCAAATGATTTTACAATGCATTTTCGCAGAGGGGAGCAAAGTAGCCAATCACAGACATGTTTGTTGATTTCTACAATGCAATGGCCAGTCAGATGTGTTTAGGTTGGAATCCACACACTCACCGCTTTTTGTCCGGTGCTGAGTTCTATCATGCTCGTAAACTTCATTAAAAAAAAGTTTCATTGTGTGGTCACATTCATTGGTTAAAACGTGTGAGATTGTGATGAATAAGTGACAGTTTTTAATAAATTTAAAGGGAGCGCTCTTTCCATGCTGTAAACGATAATATATTCAGAATTTAAATAAAACGTGTGTTTTTCATGCTTGACAAGTGGCCACGTACGACACAGATATAGCTAACTACTACACAATATAGAAAAAGATAATAGCCTAATTTCAGAAGCACAAAGTGATGTGATTCTGCAACCGAGCCTGGTCCAAACGCAGGATTTAGGTAAGGAAACGGTTATTAATTATTTGTATTGGCTGCCATGCCAAATCATGCACCTGCTTGCTTTTCTGTTTAATTTAAGTGTTTTTGTGAACGTATATGCTTTAATAACAAATAATTGTAACATTTTACAATAAGGTTCCATTAGTTAATATTAGTTAATGTATTAAAGTGTATTAAAGTGTTAGTTAATTATTGTAAAGTGTTACCCAAATAATGTATTTTGAGCGTTCACTTGAAAGTATGCGCAAGTACCCCAGACCACCCTTTTTAAGCAGACTCGGTACGGTTCGCAGGTGCACACCCGAGTTCAGGAGACAGCGTTCACATCATCCAAACGAACTGAACTTTGACGTCAATCGAACCCGGGTGTGCACCAAAAGTGCTAGTGTGAAAGCACCCTCAAACACGGAAAAAGTGTGAAACCATGTTTTGATCTCACAGTACCAGCTTTACTAAGCTTTATCTTCTGAGTCAAACTGAAACCAGCTGTGGTTAGTTTTATAAATGTGGTTTGAACCGTTGGGTAGACAAACATATGTCAGTGACACTGGGCATTCAGAGCACGAGTGTTTAGTTTGTAGGTGAAGAGTTTCTTCCTGTGCTGCTACTATTTACATTGTTGTAAGTTTCCTTAATCTACTGGAGGAAAAAAAAACAAAAAACATTAGAAACTGTTAAAAACAATAGCAAAATGATCTGTCACACTTTAGTTTAGGGTCCAATTCTTACTAACTGCATGCCATCGCCAGCAACGCATGAAATGGGCTTAAGATCATCAAGATTGAAAGAAAGTGGCCTGGTCTGATGAATCAAGATTTCTGGTGCATCACGTCGATGGCCGAGAGCAGATACGCCGATTATCTATAGGGGCTACTGCACCTGGATGCACTGTTGAGTGGACACAGGCCAGCATCGGTGGCAGTGTTATGCTGTGGGCGATGTTTTCTTGGGACATTTTAGGCCTCAATATCCTAATAGTGCAATCCCTGACAGCTGTCAGGTATCTGAACATTGTTGCGGACCAAGTGTATTTATGGTAACTGTGTTCCCTGATGGCCATTATGGCCAAAGTATACTTCGTTTTTGTTCGCGTATGCTAGCGTATGCATACAGTCGAAAGCGTAGCCTTTCAAAGTATACTCCATTTGATGTTGTGCGCGAACGCGGGCAGTCGACACATGCGCTCTTGAAAGCTTCATCCATGTCCAGTGTCTGCTCTATTTTTCCCCATAATTTATGACCGATAACAACTATTTTTGAACACTTTTAAACCAAAGCTGGGCTATCCCATTCCATCTCGCTCACAAGCGCTTGTCAATGCGGCCGTCTGTTGTTGTTGCAATCTCCGCTATTTTGTTGTTGTTCCTTCTCTTTAGTTTTCTACAGTGAATCAACAGCCCGGGACAGTGTTGCCACCTCGTGGAACAACTGATTACTGCAAAAATTCTATACACATGTGCGACCTGCACGTACAAAGTATGTGCGGTTACAAAAATCAGATGGTGTGCGCACAGTACGCGTACTATTCTGATGACAAAATTCGCATCACGCACACTGTACGCTGTTCCTCGCGTAAAAAGTGAAGAATACTTTGGGCTTTACCAACAGGATAATGCGCCATGCCACACTGCCAGAATCATCAAGGAGTGGTTTGAGGAACATGATGGTGAATTTCTGTCAATGCCTTGGCCTCCAAATTCACCTGACGTGAACCCAATAGAACATTTGTTGTTCGACTTGGAAAAGGGGGATTGCGCTACATCACCACCATCCTGCAATGTACGGGAACTGGAGGACCAGTTGTTGACATTATGGTACCAGATACATAGGAGTCACCTCCTCATCGAATCGATTCCTCGACGCATGGCTACTGTTTTGCGGGCTAAAGGAGGTCCTGCAGGTTATTAGGTGGCCATAATGTAATGGTTCATTGGTGTATATATCTAATAAAAATCTACTATAATCTCTCATCTAGGAATACTGGATTTAGTAATTTTACTAGAACTCGTCAGAAGACATCTATTTTGTTTACTAAAGCTGTCAGTATATTTTAGACTCGTATTCAAAACCAGTAAAAAAACCCCGAAAACAAACAAACAAACAAACAAAAAGATTTCACAGCACTTTAATTTCAAATGTCTGGATTTTAACAACTAAAGATCAGCAGCACCATCAACTTTAGGAACTTCAGTGTTTCTGTCACTGGTGGCTATAATTTAGTAATTCACTGCATTTTTCTTTGAGGAATGTAAAACATACATTACATTTTTAAATCAGTCCAATAAATGAAAAAAAGTGAGCTTTGACTCAGCATTAAAACATAATGAAGATCATCTCTATCAACTTCACATGCACATCAAGTGACAGCAAAGTTTGGTGACACAATTTTCACATTATGTATTATGTCACATGACACTTACAGTCACCTGTTGTGTAGTGCTGTAATGCTGTTTTAGCTGCTGTTATTTAAAACACACCAGATGGCGCCACTTGAAAAGAAGTGACAATATGAAGATATTTTATTCTAATAAACTGAAGTAATCTGTTTAATTGAGTTTGTTGTTGTTGTTGTTGTTATTATTATATATTAGTATAAACTGCAGTGACTATGAAAACAGCAACATCTAGTGCCCTCTATCATGTAAAAGTAGTGCTAATGTGATATATATATATTTTTTTTGCTTTGTACACTAGAGAGCGATGATGTCCTTGTGCTGAATTTGCCAGTTTTCTCTTCATACTGTTGTGATAAAGGATTTTGAAAGTCTGACAGTAATCAGTGTTAAGTGCTGTAAGGTTAAACCCTGCCTGCTTTAAATGTCTGAAAATAATTAACAGGTAGTTCAAAGTAATCAAAAAGTAATCACATGTAATCAGTTACATTAGTTTGTAATAAAGTGCATGCAATAATTACACTACTTATTACATTTTAAATAGGGTAACTTGTAATCTGTAACCTATTACATTTCCAAAGTAACCTTCCCAACAATTTAGGAGAGTGCATGCAAAAAAAAAAGAAAAAAAAAGAATCAATGTGGCACAAACAGCAGAGAATAAACAAATGTCAGAGAATAAATATGAACTAAAAGGTGTGAGTCAGGGCCCATATGAGCTCTCTAGGACATTCTGTTTTGATCATCGTGTTTTGGTGACATATGCATACACAGGCTCCTTCTTTGATTTCTGAAAAAGAAAAATACAAAATACAGTCAGTGAGGAAGGAACCTGCTAATGCAATAGTTTCACATACACACACACACACACACACACACACACGTTCCTAACCCGACCCTAAACCTACCCCTTACAGAAAACCTGTTTGCATGGTTACACTTTCAGATAAACATAATTTACCATTTTTAATAATCATTTTCCCTCATGAACAATGTCAAAAATTTCAGGTTTTACTATCCTTGTGGGGACATTTGGTCCCCACAATGTAGCATAAACAAGTATACACACACACACACACACACAAAAAACTACACTACAATTTATAATACACTAAAATTTTTTTTATAATGTTTATGCTTTAAAGTCTCTTATTCTCACCAAGGCTACATTTATTTGACCTTTCAGATAAACATATACTATTTTTTATATATTTTTTTTGTCCTTCGTGGGGACCGCAGGACCCACAATGTCATAAATTTCAGGTTTTACTATCCTTGTGGGGACATTTGGTCCCCACAGTGTAGCATAAACAAGTACACACACACACACACACACACACACACACACACACACACACATATATACATAT